TTTATTTTAACACTGAGCCACCTGGAAGCCCATTTGGCAGCTTAGCCTGACATGATAAAATAATAATAAAATACCACAGACTAGGTGGTTTAAGGGCTTTCCTGGTAGCTCAGCTGGTAAAGAATTCACCTGCAATGCAGGAGACCCCAGTTCCATTCCTGGGTTGGGAAGATCCCCTGGAGGTAAAGAATTCACCTGCAATGCAGGAGACCCCAGTTCCATTCCTGGGTTGGGAAGATCCCCTGGAGAAGGGATAGGCTACCCACTCCAGTATTCCTGGGCTTCCCTGGTGGCTCAGATGGTAAAGAATCCGCCTGCAATGCAGGAGACCTGAGTCCAATCTCTGGGTTGGGAAGATTCCCTGGAGGAGGGCATGGGAACCCACTCCAGTATTCTTGCCTGGAGAATCCCTGTGGACAGAGGAGCCTGGCAGGCTGTAGTCCATGGGGTCGCAGAGCGTCAGACAGGACTGAGCGAGTAACCACAACACATTAGGAACAAGGTTTGTGAATAAATTTGCCAATTTAGATGAAATTAACAAATTCCTTGAATGACACAAATTGCCAAAACTAACTGAAGAAGAAAGTGGAAAACCTAAATATCCCTAAATCTATCAAAGATATGGAACAGAAAACTCCAGGCCCATGTGACTTAACTAGTGAATGCTATGAAATACGTAAAGGAGAAACATCACCAACCCCATACAAATTCTTTCAGAAAGGAGAGGAGGGGAAACACTTTTCAAATCATCTCATGAGGCCAGCCTTACAAAATACCAAAACCAGATGAAGAGATTGCAGGAAAACAAAACCATAGACCACTATCCTCATTCAGTTAAGCAGAAAAAATGAAATGTTAGCAAATTTAATCCAGCAATATATAAAGCATTATGACCAAATGAGATCTATCCCAAGAATGAAAGATTGGTTATGCATTAAAAACTCATCAACCAGTGTTATTCATCATATTAAGCAAACACAGGAGAAAAACCATATTATCATTTCGATAGATGCCATAAAAGCATTTGATAATATTCAACAACCACTATGATAAAAACTGTCAGAAAACTAGGACTACAAACAGACTTTCTTAATCTGATCAAGGTAAACTACAAAACTCCTACAGCTAACGTGATAATGGAGGAAAATCTAATCCCTCCACCGAGGGTGGGGGAAGGCTGCTGGCCTGGGATTCAAAGGGACGTGGAGAGGCCTATCCAGCCAGGGGTTGGGGATCAAGGGGCCTGATTGAAGTACCTGTCCCCTCCTTGGGCAGTGGCCCTGATCCAGTCACCTCCCGTGGCACCAGTGGTTCCACCTCCCAGGCAGTGGTGCCCCAGCCCCATCATCAACCCTGGCTGTACTGTGTGGGTTGATTTGACCCCTTTCCAGACCAGAAGCAGACCAGCACCCAGTAGGCCAGCAGACACAGGGTCACCTCCCGGTTGAGGGTCCCCAGCGCCTCCAGCTCTCCGGAGAGCCACAAGACTTTGATCCTGGAGAGGGAAAGCCCATGAGTTTTGTGCCAGCAGAGGCCAAGGGACTGGGAGTGTGATGGGGGACATTGCCCTTCCAGCAGCCCTTGAGTGCAGCTGGTCCAGCCGGTGCTTCTGAGGGGGCCTGTTGTTCGTTCCCAGCTTGGAGTCCCTGCAGTCTGTGTGCCTGGAGCCCCAGGTGGCCCTTCCCCATGCCATCCCCAGTGAGTTCAACAGCAGTCCCGGCTTTCCTCCCCAGGCAGGCAAGCACATCACACTCTACATTCCTATTCTCCAGACTCCAGGACCGGGTCCCCATGCACCACCATGCAAAGGCACCTGCACATGAACACAAGCACACAGACGCCAGTGTGCATGCCTCTGACTCGTGCTCTCTTTCACACACACACACACACACACACATCCACGTGCATGCACCTAACCACACGCTCTCTTTCACACACATGCACATGCGAACGCCCATTTGCAAGCATCTCCACAAACACACATGCACAGACCTATGTGCGTGCACCTCTGCACAGGCACTCTCTCTCTCGGGCACACAGAGACATGCACAGCAGATGCCCGTGTGCATGCACTTGCCCACGTGCACATGGACACACATGCACACACACGCACACACACACACACACACACACGTGAGCTATGTGCGGGACACCAGAGGGACAGACCAGGTCTGACCCAGGGGTTCCCGACTCCCCTCCAGAAGTCGAAGATAAGGACCTGCGCTCGGCAGGATGCTCGCCTGTGAGCATGGCCAGGTTGGCAGCAGTGCACTCTTGGAGGTGCACAGGGACCGGGGCTCACTTGGGGTTTGCAGGCTTGGACCGGAAACAGGGACGTGCCCTGAGGAGTGGGGCATGGTCTGTTTGAGCATGCGCACTGAGGAGCTGCAGACACACTAAAGGGTGGAGCGCCACCTAGAGGCCTCCTGGCTAAGCCATTTACCAGGTTTCCGAGCCCGAGGCAGGGCTGACTTAGAGGGACCAGACCACGTGGGTATGTCTGTGCAGGCTCACTGGGGCGACACGGCACGTGAACGTGTGAAGCTTCTGCAGAGAGTGCCTATTGCCTGAGAGACTGCAGCCACCGTGGGATCCAATGGTTGGCGGGAACCAATCGTGAGGCAGGACCAGGGTGTGTTTGTGCAGGCGCTCTGCCGATGCTGAGTTGCAGGTCGCACTACAGAGCTGGGTTCTCTAGGGAGGGTTCAGTCTTTCCTGACGCACAGGGAGGGAGAGAGGGGTTCAAGATGGAGTCCGAGGCACATGGTGGTGGAAGCCATGAGGGCAGCCGATGAAGACGCAGGTGCCATGGGCTCTGTAGCGGGCATGGCACATGTCAGCCAAGGTGTACGCGGTGGTGATGGTGGCGGCGATGGCCCTGGCAACCCAGCTGGCCCTGGTGACACCGTCAGTCCTACAGTCCCTGGCAGCCCCGGAAACCCAGGTGATCCCAGGGGCCCCAGCACTGCAGGAAAGTCACGTGGCACAGCCGGTGACATTCTGCAGATCCTGGGGTCGCTCCACGCACCAGGGTGTGGAAGAGACACTGCACCCGGAGCCAGAGTTCTGAGTAACGGACCCCTTCAGTTGTGTCCTATTCCAGGAGCCTCAGTCGCAGGGGTTGGGGTGTGGACTAGGGGTGGTTTGGGGGATTGCAGTTGGCGGGGCCTAAAGTGTAGGTGGAGGGTACTCTGGGGGGCTGGAGCGTATGGGTCAGGGCTGGTCTGGCTGCCAGGGGATGGTGGTGAAGAAAAGCAACCTGAAGGGATCCAGAGGGTCGGGGCGGTGATATCCAGGGTGTCCGGCGAAGGCCTTGTGGGAGAAGGTGGGTCACCATGAGCAGGGAGCCTGACAGACAGGCAAAATGAGAAATGTGGATGGTGCCTTAACCAGATCTCCACCAGCAGCCTCACCGTACCTTTCTAATTGCTCGCTCAGGCAAAAATTGCCCACAACTTCCTATCTCAAAGTACTCAACTGTGAGCGCCAGTTCAGAAGGAGCTCAATGTTAATGGCTGCCAGTTGGTTCTGTCAGTTCTAAAGGGGGCTGGAGAGGTGGTGCTGGGCAGTGGCCAGTGGCCAGCGCCAGTCTTGGCCCAGGAGGAGCCATAATGGAGGGTTAAGCCTAGAGGAGAAGTGTGGTGCTCCGGGCTTGTCAGTGTGCGGGGACAGAGGGAGGCCATGCTCCTCTTCCTCCTTCTTCGTGGGAACTTGACTCATTTTCCCTCCCTTTTAGCCGATTGACTGCTGAAGACCGTGGCCTGCTCCAGACAGCCGTGACCTTCTGTCTGGAGCAGCTTTCCCTGGTGATGCGGACCTTGTAGCACTTTGTGCCCCCCCCTTTATGCTCAGTCTCAGCATAGAAGAGGGGCTTAAAACTAGCCTATGTGGCCTAGTCTAAACTGTCATTCCCGAGGGCATTGCTTTCTGCAGTAGTTTGATTGGGCTTCATCTTTGTCTGTGCTGCTGTTTGGGGGCTTAGGGTTCACGCAGTTTGTTTGGGGATTGTTAACTGAAGAAAATAAAACTGAGCTACTGTGCTGTCTCTGACTTTAGTTTTAGCTTGTTCACTTCCTAATACTGCATTCATCTTCTGGTTGGAGGGAAGGTTCTGAGATCCAGATATTCAAGGAGTGCAACATTAGTGAAGACAACATAAGAAGCAGGAGAATAAGACAGTAGTGTATTGCCATTCAGTATTAATTTTGGAATATTTTCTCACTATATGAAGTGTAGTGAAGTGAAAGACGCTCAGTCGTATCCAACTCTTTGCAACCCCATGGACTATACAGGCCATGGAATTCTCTAAGCCAGAATACTGGAGTGGGTAGCCTTTCCCTTCTCCAGAGCATCTTCCCAACCCAGAGATCAAACCCAGGTCTCCCACACTGCAGGCGGATTCTTTACCAGCTGAGCCACAAGGGAGGCCTGAGCCATGGAAATACTGTCTGAAAACTGACGTGATGGACGAACACATGAAAGCACCTGAAATAACGCATGGACCATAGGAAGTGCTAGCTATCACTATGGTCAAAGAGCACAGGTATGATGTGGAGTGGGCAGAGAGGGGACGCTGGTGGGTCGTGTGGCTTGGCCCCTAGCTCTCGACTCCCACCTTAGTCCAGTGAGACCCTTCTGTGGCATACGTTGGAGAAATCAAAGTTGCATTGTGGAACTAGCTTTAGGCCTTGAAACTGGAAAGTTGGCATTTGTGTCTCAGTGGTGTCTCTGTGGGCACTTGGCGGGGTCTCTTCCACGCTGTCTGAGCCGGCACTGGAGGGGCCCGTGTGCGCAGGCGCATCGGGGGCACCTGAAAGGAGCGTGGCACTGTGAGGGAGCTGAGTCCCTCCAGCCGCACGGGGTCTCCATAGCAGCCCGTGGGTGGCTGGGGTGTATGCGCAGGCGCAATTCTGGCGTCCTTGCGCAGAAGGGGAGGGACGTCGTGAGGGGCCCAATCTCTCCGCCCCTTATTTTCCGTCTGAGGGAGACGCGTGGCAGCCATGCAGGCGTCGGGTGGTGGCGCAGGTGGTGCAGAGGGCCGAGATGACCAGCATAGCTCCAGAACACCTGCTTCCCAGAGTGGTTCAGGCAGGGCTGAAGGTGAGGATGGTCACCGGGCCCCAGAAGGCCGGGGTGGGCCTGGCAGAGGAAGAGAGGCGATGGAAGCTGCTGTAGCTCGTCCCCGGGGTGAGCGGGCACCAGGTGGCCTAGGACCTGCTGGAGATGTAGCGCCCTTGGCTGTAAGGCCTAGACGTGGACAAGTGGTGCTGTATCCTTTTCATGGAGCCTCCCTGGGCACGGTCAGTGGTATGGTGGTGGGAAACTTGCCGGCAGCCTGACGAAGGGATAGAAGGGAGCATGTGGGCAACCCGGAGCAGCAGGATTGGGCACCCTGGCCGGAAGGGGAGTTGTCAAGGCCCGAGGAGCCTGGAGGGTGGGGAAGATGGACCGAAGGGTTAGGGAGGCAGCTCAGGGTGGTCACAGGTTGTGGTCGGGAGCATGGGCATCCTGGGGTAAAAACGGGCCTCTTAGGTGTGAGGAAGCCCGAGATACCAGAAAATTCAGTAATGGATGGTGCCTTAACCGTGTCTCTCCCAGCACACTCAGAGTGCCTTTCCAGTCGCCCCTGGCGGCAGACATGGCTCGCAGATCTCTGCTCCCCGATGCCCAAGGCCACCAGGGATCGATTCGGAAGGAATTTGCAGTGAATGGCAGTGACCTGCTTGTGTCAGTTCCAGACGAGTTTGCCTTGGGGAGTTGGGGGTGGCAGGTGCTGTGGTCTGAGCTCCCTCTTAAGCATGCTATGATGGAGACACTGAGGGGCTTGGTCTAAGGAGGGGGGCTGGTACCCTGGACCTACAGGAGCAATCTCCCCTTTCACCTGATTTTCTTTTCCCTGCTTTTAGTAGATGGACTGCTGAAGACCTTGCTTCCATCCAACTTTCCATGAACGCATTCGTCAATCAGCTTTCCCTGGTGATTCGGAACATTCGGAGACTTGGGCTCCCACCCTCGCCAAAGCCTAAGCTGAGGAGAGGGGCTGAGGCCTAACCTTGTGTCCCCTACTCAGTGGGCATAGGGAATTCAACCTAAGAGTCATTGCCCCTTTGTTATTTGAGTGTAAGTTTTGGTCTGTACTGGCCTTTGGCCTCTCTTGGTTCACTTGCTTTGTTTCCCTGCTGCTTGAGGAGTGGGATGCTTCAGTGTTTATTACAGCAGAAAATAAAGCTAAGTCACTTTTTGCGCCCCAGTTTCTTTTCAGCTAACGCCCTTCTGGATTTTAAAAACACGTTTTATCTTTGTTCTCGTGTTAGAGGGAAGGTTCTGAAATTCAGATATTTGAATTCAATTACAAGGGAATTGAAAACAATTTTGGAAAATGAAAATCGAGCCCTATGTTCAGCACTAAATACTGTCAACATTTAAGAATATTTCCTGGTTGTACTTGCACATTAAATGTATAACAGCATGTGATGTAGAAGTTATAAAGTTTAGCTTTAAATTTTTTGCCTAAAAAAAAAATTTTCCTAAATTTTTTAATTTAGTGTACTAGCTTTTGCACTTTAAAATCTTCTCAGAAATGTGTTATTGAATAGATAGAAGATGCATCATAATGTAATTATTGGGACTTCCTAGGCAGTCCAGTGGATAAGACTCTGCACTTCCAGCGTAAGGGCTGCAGGTTCAATCCCTGGCAGCAGACCTAAGATCCCACATGTTATGTGCCATGGCCAAAAAATTAAGATTGGGTCTTTAAATTAAAAAAAAGAATGTAATTATGGAACATTTAAGTTGATTCCACTTTTTTCATTACTATGGTTAATGATTTAGTGGAATTTATAAATCTTTCCATTAATGGTTATTTCTTAAAAGTGTTAATGTATTCCAAGAATTAGAAATACTGACCTAAGTGTTTACTTCTTTTTTAAATTATCTTTTCATTTTTAATATAAATTTATTTATTTTAATTGGAGGCTAATTACTTTACAATATTGTATTGGTTTTTCCATACATCGACATGTCCAGGCACCCCACTGGGGTCCTCTTGGCCACAGAGCAGAGAACAGACACAGGCAGTAGGGCAGGTCTTTGCACACCCTAAAACTGACTGGGGGCCAGAATCCACAGAAACTTGGAGGGTGGGAAGGTGGGACAGGGATGCCCCACACACAGGAAATGGTCAGCCATAGCTGGTGCCTCTTCCCCTCCAGTGGGGATGGGGAAGGCTGCTGGCCTTGGACTTGGAGGGCCGAGAGGACTCTCCCGCCAGGGCGTGGGGCTCAGGGGCCAGATTGAAGTACAATCCCTGATGCAGTCACCTCCCGTGGCACCAGTGGTTCCCTGACAGATGAACCCAGTGCCCAGGCAGTGCTGCCCCAGCCCCGGGGTCTCCCCTGGCTGTACCTTGCCTGTTGACTTGAACCCCTTCCAGACACAGAAGTAGACCAGCACCCAGCAGGCCAGCAGACACAGGATCACCTCCCATTTGAGGTCCCCCGGTACCTCCAGCCCTCCGGACAGCCTTAAGACATTGTTCCTGGGGAGGGAAAGGCCATGAGAGTTGTGCCAGCAGAGGGCAAGACACTGCGGGTGTCCAGGGCAACATGGCCCTTCCCTCTGCCCTTGAGTCTAGCTGGTTCCTCTGGTGCTTCTGAGGGGCCCAGGGCATGCCCACAGCCTGGAGTTCCTGCAGTCTCTGTGCCCGGACCCCAGGCGGCCCTGCCCCATGACTTCCACAGTGGGCCCAACAGGAGTCCCCGCTTCCCTCTCCAGGTGGACAGGAACAGCCCACTCTGGCATCCCTGGTCTCAGGACCCCAGGGATGGGTCCCAGCGCACTCCCATGTGCATGCACCTGCACATGCCCACATGCACAGAAAAGGACGCAGACTTGAGCTATGTGTGGGAGACAAATGGGATCGACCAGGCCTGGCCCTGGTGCTCTACTCCCTTCCAGAAGTTGAAGTCAGTAGGCTGGTCACCTGTGAACATGGCAGCAGAGGTGTAAAGGGAAGGGGCTCAGTTGATGTTTCCACATTTGGCAGGAAACACTGACGTGCTCATAAACACCTAAGAGGGACATCCGGAGACCTGCGTCAGGGCCTGATTGCGCAGGTGTCCTCAGTGCCCATAGCGACGTCACCCGCCCAGGGGCATGGTTTCCTTTGGGTGCCTCAGACGCTCCAGGTGGCAGTGGTGGGCTGACCTGCAGTGTGAGTGGTCATGGAGGCCGCAGACCCAGGTGCTGGCAGGGGTGGTGTGGTGGGAGATGTTGAAGGCCAGGGAGGTCTGGATGGGCCTGGTGACCAAAATGGCCCTGAAGGGCACGAGGGCCTCGGAGGCGCAGGAGAGGCGGGTGCAGCCATAGCTGGAGCCCCAGAGCTGGTGCAGGCACCTCATGCTCCGGGACCTAGTGGAGACGCCATGCCAGTGCCAGGTGGTCACGCCACTCCAGGACCAGGTGGACATGTGGCGCCAGGGCCTGGTGTCCACAGTGCCCTGGGACCAGGAGAACACACCAGGCTGTGGACTCTTGGACATGCTGCATCGGGACATGGTGGGTGTGTGTGCTGCCCGTGGCCAGAGGACCAAGAAGCCAACTTCTCAATTTGTATCCTATTTGAAGAGAGGCCAGGGGTGTGGGGTGGAGTGAGGAGGAACGGGCCTCCTGAAAACAGTGGAATGGAGAGAAGACAGTCAGCCTGCAGATAGGAAGGGCTGTGGAGGAGGAGGCCAAGAAGATGGCTGGAGGGTCTGGCCTGGGGGGCATGGCTCAGGGGTGGCAGGGAGAGATGGAGGGGGGAGATGGCCTGAGGGACTGGAAGGGCGGGGAGCAGACTTGGAGTGGGGATGGAGACAAGTGAGAACGGCCAGAAGGAAACAGGACTCTGAATGAAGAGTAGGCCTGAGGCACAGGCAAGGTTGGTGTGAGATGGTCCCTTAACCTCGCTGCCACCAGCTCCATTGTAGTGCTCTTCCCATCACCCATGGAGGCAGAGATGGCCCACCAGTCCCTGAGCCCACACATCCAGCCCTACCGCAGGGCAGTAGGGAAGGAGCTCACAGGGAACGGCAGCATCCTAGCAATGTTAGTTTGCAAAGGGGTCTGGGTGGGTGGCAGGTGTCTGGTGTCATTCTAATAGTGAATTGGAGACCACCGAAATACAAAATCTAAGGATGTAGACATGTGCAGTGAGCCTGTCACCAGCTGAGGGGGGAGAATTACGGAAACAGTTCTCACATTTAATTTTAATTTCTTTTTCCCTCCCTTTCAGCCGGCTGACTGCTGAAGATGGTGGCCAGCTCCGAAGTTCCATCATGTTCTGTCTCAAGCAGCTTTTCCTGTTGCTTGGGATCAACCAACCAATTACAGGGTAGTTTGTGTCCCTGGTTATCCCTAAGCCTAGGCCAAGAAAGAGCGCCTAAGATTAACCTAGGCAGTGCATCCTTCCCCAGGGCATTTATTCCTACACTGGTTGCTGATTTATTATGAGGGCCTAATTGTTTGCTTATATTGGCTTTGGGGCACTCTTGGCCCTGTTGTTTTCAACTGGCTGGAGGAGGAGGGTGTTTCAATATTTCTTGTAGCATAAAATAAAGCTGAACTATCATTCTGTGTCTGAATATACTTTCAAATACTGCACCTCCACAGTTTCTTGCCTTTGTCCTTGGTTTCAAGGGAAGGGTCTGGGCTTCAGATAGTCTAGTAGTACAGTGTAATTGAAGACAATTTAGGAAATGGAAGAAAATTAAAATATATTATGGCTTCTCATTCAGCATTAACTACTGTCAGCAGTTTGGAATATTTTTTTTTAGTTTTAAACTGGCATTTATATGGCTCAGCCAGTAAAGAATGTGCCTGCAATGTGGGAGACCCGGATTTGATCCCTGGGTTGGGAAGATCCCCTGACAAGTGAAAGGCTATACATTCCAGCATTCTGACCTAGAAAATTCCATGGACTGTATAGTCCATGGGGTCGCAGTGTTGGACACAACTGAGTGACTGTCATATCACCTATAACAATAATGTAATTTTTGCATGCTCAGGATTAATTTTTTCCTGGAATTGCTTTTATTTAACATATAAGCATTTTCTCTTTCAAAAATTTCTTCAAAAACATGTACTTGAATGCATATAAGAAGTAGCATAATGTAAGTGTTCAGTCAGTTCAGCTCAGTCGCTCGCTCAGTCGTGTCCAATTCTTTGCAACCCCATGGACTGCAGCATGCCAGGCATCCCTGTCCATCACCAACTCCTGGAGTTTACCCAAACTCATATCCATTGAGTCCATGATGCCATCCAACTATCTCATCTTCTGTCATCCCCTTCTCCTCCCATCTTCAATCTTTCCCAGCATCAGGGTCTTTTCCAATGAGTCAGTTCTTCGCATCAGGTGACCAAAGTATTGGAGTTTCAGCTTCAACATTAGTCCTTCCAGTGAACGTTCAGGACTGATCTCCTTTAGGATGGACTGGTTGGATCTCCTTGCAGTCCAAGGGACTCTCAAGAGTCTTCTCCAACACCACAGTTCAAAAGCATCAATTCTTCAGCACTCAGCTTTCTTTATAGTCCAACTCTCACATCCATACATGACTAGTGGAAAAACCATAGTCTTGACTATATGGACCTTTGTTGGGAAAGCAATGTCTCTGCTTTTTAATGTGCTGTCTAGGTTGGTCATAACTTTCCTTCCAAGGAGTAAGCGTCTTTTAATTTCATGGCTACAGTCACCATCTGCAGTGATTTGGGGGCCCAAAAAAATAAAGTCTTGACACTGTTTCACTGTTTATCCATCTATTTGCCATGAAGTGATGGGACTGGATGCCATGATCTTAGTTTTCTAAATGTTGAGCTTTAAACCAACTTTTTCACTCTCCTCTTGCACTTTCATCAAGAGACTCTTTAGTTCTTCTTCATTTTCTGCCATAAGGGTGATCTCATCTGCATATCTGAGGTTATTGATATTTCTCCCAGCAATCTTGATTCCAGCTTGTGCTTCTTCCAGCCCAGCGTTTCTCATGATGTACACTGCATCAAAGTTATAAAAGCAGGGTGACAATATACAACCTTGACATACTCCTTTCCCTGTTGGAACCAGTCTGTTGTTCCATGTCCAGTTCTAACTGTTGCTTCCTGACATGCATACAGATTTCTCAAGAGGAAGTTCATGTGGTCTAGTACTCCCATCTCTTGTTAAACATTTAATATGTTTCCATTTGTCCCTAATAATGCTTCAGTGGAATTCTTCTGTATAAGTCTGCCTGACTGGTTATATCCTCAAGATAGATTCCCAAGGGTAGAAGTACTGAGTTAAAAATTTACTTTTCTATTGATTTTTTAAGGCTTTTTGCCTAGAGTAGGTGGTTGCTACTCAAATGTGTGCCTCCCCCTCCCCCTAGAATTCTAGTTTGCCGACCATCTTTTATCAGTAGGTCTGATTCCTCCCAAAGTAAAAAGCTTAGCTTGCAGAAGATCAAACAACTCAGAAACACTAGAACTCTAACTTTATGGCCTACTGACCTTGTTTCAGATCAATGTAGAAAAGTTTGGGGGCAATTAGTTAAGTCTTTAGGGGAGCAGTTAGCTTCCTCCAATGTCTAGTATTTCCTGCAACCTCACCAAATTTGCTGATAGTTTTAGTAGTTCTCTGAATTACACTGCATTTTCTACATGTATGATCAGGTTATCTGCAGCTAAGGTGTGCTCAGTCACTCAGTTGTGTCCAACTCTTTGCAACCGCATGGATTATAGCCTGCCAGGTTCCTCTGTCCATGGAATTTTCCAGGTAAGAACACTCGAGTGGGCTGTCATCCTCCAGGGGATCTTCCTGACCTAGGAATCGAGCCCACATCTGCATTGGCAAGCAGATTCTTTACTACTGTGCCATCTGGGAAGTGGCACAGTGTTAAAACAGAAAGAAAGTAAATGTGCATCTTCACTGAGTAAAGATCCAGTAAGTTAGAATAAGCCCATCCCTTGGTGGCTCAGTGGTAAAGAACCCACCTGCCAATGCAAAAGACTAAGATTCCATCACTGATTCAGGAAGATCTCCTGGAGTGGGAAAGGACAACTGATACAGTATTCTTCCCTGGGAAATCCCATGGACAGAGGATTCTGGTGGGCTGCAATCCATAGGGTTGTGGAATAGAATACAATTGAGCAACTAAACAACAAAACAATAAAGAAATCAGAAGTTGAGAATCTGTGTGAAGAGATGATACATTCCTGTTTTAAGAGTATGCTCCCACTATGTGACTGGATATTACTTTTGACATTTTTTTAATTTGTGTGGGTCTCAGTTGCAGCACGCAGGATCTTCAATGCAGCATGTGGGCTCTTATTTAATAGTTGCAGCATGTGGGATCTAGTCAGCTCACAAGGAATTGAACCCGGGCCACCTGCATTGGAATTGTGGAGTCTTAGCCAATGGACCACCAGGGAAGTCCCTGAAGTAAGTATTTTCTTTATTTCGGATAATAATCGTCTGCTCTGTTAGATTAATGGGCTTCCCAGGTGGCACAGTGGTAAAGAATCCGCCTGCTAATGCAGGAGATGCAATTTCAAACCCTGGATCGAGAAGATCCCTTTAAAGGAAATGGCAACCCACTCCAGCATTCTTGTCTGGAAAATTCCAGGGACAGAGGAGACTGGTGGTCTACAGTGTATGGGGTAGCAAAGAGTTGAACATGACTGAGTGACTAAGCATGCCTGCTCTCTTAGATTAAGAAATAATCTTTCCCAGTCTTTCCTTTAGAACATTGGAAATTGATTTTGAACTTGATGAAAAGTGTATACCACTGTCAAGGACATGTATGAGTTTTGTATCCCAGCAACCATTTTCCTTCTCTTGGTACTGGTATGCTGTCACCCTGGAAAATTGCCCCTTTCCTTTTCTCTCGGCCACTGTGACTGTGATAGAGTTGACTTCACCTCTGATTCCAGGGGTGGGCATGTGGCCCAGGCCTGCCCAATTGGAGCACTGCTTTCCTCCTGCTGTGGTGATATCATCCAACCAGTGACACTTTGGGTCTCTAGGAGAGACAGGCTGGCAAAAGACAGAGGGGGAGTTGGAGCAAGAAGACAAATCTCAGGGAACAAAATGCTGGATCCAGCCATGCCTAAAGACAAACTACTTTTGTACCTTATAATTACACAGACCCAGAAATTCTCCCTTTGGCTTAAAAACCAATGTGGATATTCTTGGTCATTTTGTTCTACTTGTTTTTCACTTGCAATAGCAAAGTCTTGACTATTAGTGAATTGAAGAATCATAATTTTCTTTCTTACTTAATTAACGTGGTCTGAAGACTTGGTCCTTCTTTATTACTTCAAGGGAGAAATAGACCTATTTTGTTGCTAGGGGATTAGTTCCTTAATAATCAACCCATATCATGGTAGAAAAGGAGCCCAGTGAGTCAAAGGAGGGGAGGGACACTGCAAGGGGCAGCTGGAGGAAGGGGAGAAGGAG